CATCACTCATTATATTTAACAAGAAAATATCACTATAATTATATACATGGAAACGAACTATACTGCATATATTCAAACGATTGAAGGTATAGAAGCAGTTCAGGAAGAGGTCATAAAAGACAAAAGAACGAGAAGATGTTGTATTTTAACATTAGAAATAGTTAAAACAATCCTTCAATATCTTAAAAATGTTAAAAATAAAGTAATTAAGAAAAAAGATTAAATAAATTATTTATAAATATTTTATAAGTTGATATGACAGATAGTGCCCCAGACACTGGACAGATACCATAAGCATATCATAAGAATGTGGCAATGGTTTAATTAGTTTGTTTCGTGCTTTTAGAAGAAGGAGAAGAAAATCCCCCAGAAAAGTCCCTGCTAAATGTTCTAATATTAATTAAAATATTAGAAGATTTACTGATTTATCCTGAAGTGCCCGAATGGTAAACTATTAACACTATCTAAATAATACCTTTTATTATCATAGCTGGATAAACATTGTTTCACTTGGTTTATTGTATATATGTTATGGTTCTTGCTTCTAATGGTGTTGAAACTAACAGTATCGCTTCTGTTTTCTATCAGTGTCTCTTCATACTGTTTGAAGTTTAATTCTTTCTTGACTTTATGCTTTACAATACCTTTTGATTTCTTTTCTTCTTTCTCCTCATTATATACTTTGAAAGCATATGATTTAGGTTTTAACCCAACAAATTTAGTGATTATTTTACCGTCGCATTCATCCTTAAATTTACCTAAGACCTTCTTGTTTGTTGGGTCATAGCATTTATGATTTTTGTCATAACCGCTGAAGTCCATCTGGTCCTTAATATCATTGAAGTCATTGTATATATCTTTAGTCTTAGTATGAATAACGAAACTGTCAGTATCAGTATAAATTAACCTAACATTATCATTATATTTTTCTTTTAGGACATCATAATAAAATGAATACATATGTAATTTACTTAGGTCTAAAATGCTCATACCAACATATATAGGTTTCTTAAGTTTAACCTTTTCCTTTAGTTTCTCCACTCCTACTAGATTTTCATTAATAATGTGTCGGTGCTTGAATGTAGGATTATTAACACACTTGGCGTATCTTTCCTGTGTATCAACCAATTCAAAATTAATATGTTCCCTTACATTCTCCATCGTTTTACCATACACTGCATTATTCATTAATTTGTATTTGTCTTTCTCAAAGTCTGAGGTAGCCTGCTTTCCTTTTTCTGTGTTGAAATCAATCCACGGCTTTAACCATTCTTTCTGCTTGAAGGATATAACCTTATTGACTTTATTTATTCTAAGCCCTTGTTTCAAATAACATTTGAATATATTAATATGTAGAACATAATTGTTTTTATCCATAACATTTAATATTAATTTTTTTGTTTTTTCATCTTTCGCTTCCTTTCCTTCGTGATATTTCTTATAAATCTCCTTCTGACAACTGCTTAACATATCTGTGTTAACATTCATAATCTGCGGTGCTAGTGGGTAATCTATATGTTTGTCATGTAGTTCTTTGGGATATTCTAAATCAACGTCTAAAATATACCCTTCATTACCATTATCATAATTTAATATCTCTTCTTCTGTTATATTACTAATATCACTAACAAATTTAATGTCTTTGTATGGTAGTTTCTGGCACATGGCCAAACCATACAAATTATTAGCATCCAAATAATTTATATATGATGTTTCTTTGTTTTTGTCATAATCATCTCCCATATAGGGATTATTTGCTTCACATTTTCTCAAGCTGGTCTGACACATTCCACCGCGTAAGCCACTTTCAACCATTTTATAAATATCTTCATCGTGGATAAGTTCTAGTTCTACACCTGTTTTAAGAAGCATTGCATCCCAACTAAAATTAGGTAGTGTTATGTAATGTGCTGGGTCAAGCCCGTAGTCTATTCAACAGGTCTTTCTAAAGTTCTCAAACACATCCGTTAATAATAAAACATCAGTCTGCAAGTATAAATCGTGATACTGTCCTAGATTTTGAATTTTAAAGTGGTTCCATATCATATTACCTCTATCATATTCGGATTGTTTAATACCCTCTTCTGTTAGTTTACTATAGAAGTCCTCTATCTTTGGTAGTGATGTTTCATTAAATTTGTTGAAGTCCGTCATGTAGTCATAGGGATACACGCCCTTATCAGTTAGTAAATCTAAATCGTTGTCGTCATTTACATATATACTTTTTTTACTAAATTTGAAACCGTTCTGCCATTCTGTCCTCTTCTCATTTCCCTCATACTTAGTCAGTTTGACCAATTTGTCTAGGGAAGAAGACAAGAAACTAAAACTGTCTTTAAACTCCAGATTATCAACTGAAAAGGTTATAAGCTTTTCACTGTTTTGTGCTATGACGCTTATCTTATCCTTGTTTTTATTCAGTTTCTCCATGTGTGATATTATTAGGTGTGCATCATAATTTTTAAGATTGTGGAAAAATACAGGGATTTTAAAGTATTTGAAACAGTAGTCTAAATTACATTTGTTGTGTGCCGCGCCTCTATATTGTCCTGTAAAGTGGCAATGGTCGGCGACTTTAGTTTTTGCTGGTTCTTTCGGGTTGAATTTGCCACCGCATATAAAGCAATGTTTAGCGTTTTTGTGCTCTTCTTTCTGTCTTTCTGTCCATTCAATCTTTTTATTTTCTTTCATCTTCTCCATAATCTCCTCCATAATCTCCTCCTTTATTTTATTGATTGTTGAACAAAATTTATCCATACAATCTTCGCCTCTGTATAAATAAGGTGTTGCTTCATTTGTAATGCTATTAACAACATTTAACATAAAACCGCATGGTTTATGATGTTGATAGACACCTTTAACACCTTCTGATGATGGTGTCGTGAGGCACTCAAAATCACCATAAATAACATAAGGACATTTTAATTTCTTGTAGTGTTTTTGGAAAAACATTTTTTCGTCTTCCTTTGGCATAACAGTTTGTTGAACTTCATTTGCTAAGCAACCATTCAATAAATGATTGGTAAGAAGTGTTTCTTTGTTAAAACCGTGTTGGCAGTATCTGCAATGGAACAGTTTTTCTCTGTGCTTGTTTGTTTGGGCGCCCATTAAACGACTGTAATCTTTGATTAAAACATAATGGTTATTCTCACCTTCTTCTAATAGTAATAAATTAACATGACACGATGGATTTGTGATTTTGGTAATTCTATCAACTACTATGCTGTTTGTTCCGTTTGGGTTGATAGCATAAACATTAACTGATATTGTATTATCGTTTATTTCTTCAAAAATGTCAATGTCTTCATTTGATGCTGCGAACTCTACACCGTCCCACTTGATTAAATTATCTTCTTCTTTCAACTTCTTGTAATGATATAATCTGTCTGGTTTGTCTTTTTTGTATATGTCATAAAACCGACATTGAAAACAATATTTAAAACAATTGTCATCTTCGTTCTTAATATTGATACATGCCTTTTTTCTCAAAATCCGTTCCGGTAATGTCATATACTTTCCCGCCCGTGTTGGATTGTATTTGTCATAATGAATTGTTATTTTATCTATCTTGTTTATTGTATAACCTGACCTTCTTAATTGTGAGTTCTCCACCTTGATTTCTATGTCAGATGCCATATTGTCAATGGTTTTCTTTAGTTCGTCTTGATTGTTAACTGGGTAAATCCTGCTTCCTATTTTGTATGTCTGTGGTTCTTCATATTCTGGATGATTGAATGAAACATCCGTGTCAATCCTAATTTTCATGTTGTTGTTTCTACCTAAGAACTCTTTAAGTCGTTCTTCTTGATATTTTAAATATGATAAACCCTTGTATCCTTTCAGGTTAATGTTAGAAATAGAATAGGAATTGGCATATCTTTTGAATGCGCTTGTTTCTTCTGTGATGCTTGCTTTTTGTTTAATCGTGTATTTCTTCAATGCTTTTCTTACTGCTACGCCTTTGGTGGCATTCTTTAATATGTTAAATCGTTTGAAACCCTGCGTTTTTGATATAGTTTCTAGTTTCCTTTTCAATCTTTCTGATATTTCTTTTTCCTTATTATATGAATATTCTTTACCGTCTATAACAACCTTATTGAGTTTTTTATTCCCACGGGTTTTTATGCTGCCTAACTCACTGCTTAAAACATAATCTAATATATAATTAAAATCCGGTGCTCCCATATACTATTAAGCTCTTTTTTCTTTAAGTAGATTTGGCTATGGTTTTCGGTTGGTGGGTTCGTGGTTGGTGGTCTGGGGTCGCAACGTTTTCCTCGGAATGACATCTTAAAATCTTGAACGAAATTTTTATGTTGATTATTATCGTTTTTATTTTTTGGTGTTTATTTTCATTGTTATTTTCCTATGTTTTTATCATATTTTCAGGATTTTAATTATATTGTGGTTTTGAAACGTAAAAGTTTACTACCTTGTATGTTGTATCTTGAGTTTTATGTTTCTTGAGCCGAAATCTCTCTGTCGCTTCTTTCTTTAGGGTCTTAGGGTAGAAAAAAAAGACCTAATCAACCCTAATTTTGGGTTAGGGCCTTTTTTGTTGCGCGGTTTGAGCCAGTCTTTCTGTTAGGGGCTTAGGGTCAAAGAAAAAAGCACTAAAACCAATCTAACCCTAAAGTGGCGCCAACACTCTGAGGCCATCGCGATGCTTTGACCGTTTAACAGTCGGATTTCCCTTGTCCGCTTTCAGTTCTGAGGTGGCTTCAGAGCCTATCCTTTTCCCGAATTTTCGGAAATCGCCCTTAAACTAAACCAAAAACTAAACCCTTAAGAGATACGAACCTTCATGAAGTCGCCGATGTGCTTGTCTTCCATAACCTGGCGGGGTTGGCAAGTTGCGGTGGGAAGTTGTGGGGGTTAGGGTTGCATCTAACCACTGACACTTTCTTTCAAGACTTGCATGTCGGCTTTGGTTTCTGGTCGGGTTCTTCTGTGCAAGAGATGGTCTTTCAGCATCTCAAAACCCGTTGAGAGAGAATAATTCAATCGTCAGCGTCCTCTGTGCCGCCGAGTGCTTTGAACCTAGAACGAACCGCTCCCAGCCACTCGCCCTTTCCCCACGATGACAGCTTCTCAAGCACCAAGTCGTAGATGTATTGCTCGGCAGCGTTGCCCCGATTTTCCAACACCTTGAGGTTCTCCTGACCCCGCAACCCGAAGGGAAACATCACGCAACCCATGGGGAAACATCACGCAACCCTTGGGGAAACATCACGAAACCCGAAGGGAAACATCGCACCCTAAAATCCCTTATTTCTATTGGGAAACGCATGTTTCCCGAGCATGTTGTTCACGGGGGCTTACGGGAAACATCCTGAGAGAAAGGGGGTCGGGAAACATGAGCCTCAAGGAAACATGAGTCCTTCAGAGCCCTGATTTCTTGTATCTTGTCCACCGTGAACTGCACCTGATTTGCCACACCACGAGAAGACTCAATAGCCTTCTTATAGTCCCGAACGGAGTTCAAGTCCATATGGTTGAGCCAAGCCATCTCATTGAAGCTCTGCACCATGAAACAGGACTTCACCAAGTCAGGGTCTGTATCCTTGACTCGCATTTCAGAGAGTGTAGCCTTCCTTTTCTTAGCTGTGCCACCTTGTCCTTGAATTGCCAACAGAACGACGTCGTCCGCTTCCAAGCCTATGTCTCCTAAGAGCTGATCGTCGGTGAGCACCTCGTCGTGGAAAATCAGGCGCATGATGTCGGAATACATCTGCTGACTGCCACCCATCAGGAAGGTTAGGTTGCGAACACTCATCCCGTTGTGAACTTCGGCACCAAGCAACAAGTTGTCAAAGACCTGCCGAATGTTGATGTGGAAGCGCGGGACCACCTCCACATTCTCACTGACAAAGAGAAGCACGTGCAAACCCTCGTGGATGTTGTATTCAATGAGCAAGTGGTCCATCGGAACCTCGTCCTGAACCATATCGGGCGTGATGACCCCGTGAAGCTGATACTCAAAGTCGTCAAAGAAGAGAGTCTGCTTTTCCTGTGGGATACCTGCTTTTCCTTCCAAGTAGAACTTTAAGTCGCTGAAGTTGGTGAGGTCGGGGAGGAAGGGGGCTTCAATGAAGTCGCTGACGAACATGTCCTGCTCACGACACACCGCCACCAAAGCCGAGAAGTAAGGCCCATCGTCGCTACTGCTTGGGCTGTCATCGCCTTTTGGACTGTCATCGCCGTCGTCGGGTGGGTCGTCCTTGCCTTTGGGACTGTCATCACCGACGTCATCACCGTCGTCGTGTGGGTCGTCCTTCAACAATGACTTGAGGCGCTGGTTCTCAAGCTTCAAGTTGGTGATTGTTGTGTTTGCTTCGTGAAGCATCCTTTGATACTTCTTTGCATAGTGCTCCTTCTTAGGTTTCGGTTCGGTCATGCCCTTCTCCATCTCCCGCTTTGCATCCGCCACCGAAGAAGCGTATGCCATCACCGAAGCCGAAACTCTACACTAATACTAAAACTCCTGATTTGAAATAAAGCTAGGCAAGTAGCAAGTCTGAAGCACTCAAGTTGCTCAAGCAAGTCTGAAGCACTCAAGTTGCTCATACATGACATGCAAGTCTGAAGCAGTCAAGTTGTTCACGCAGGAAACGCAAGTCTGAAGCAGTCAAGCTTCACAAGACCACCTACTGATGCCACGTCTTCGCTTTCAGTAGTAACTTTTTTTGTAGGGTTTAGGGGTTCTTTTAAAGACGACTACCTAAAGCAAAGGTTCGCATCTACTGTTCCTAGGCAGGTCTCGTTCAAAGTGTTCAAGCTCTCTCACTGTTCGCTCTCATCGGACTCTTCAGGATTCTCGTCGTGGTTGGCGTCGGCAATGCTCTCGGTGTCATCCTCGTTCAAGCGGACAACGTTCACGATGGACCCATCGGTAAGGCCAACAACTCGGCAAGAGGTGCGGGGCTCAAGCGCTCCAATGTTCACGGTGCCAAAGGTGAAGCGGTAGAGGTGCTTCTTGCTCTCTGGGATGTTCGCCTCCTTGCGAAACTCACTCTTCAAGAAGCCAACGCCACGCTTTGCACGAACACGAATCACTGTCTCAGTCCCATCCAGAACGCAAGTGATGCTCAGGATGCGGTCGTTGGCTTCCTGAGTTGCCGCCGACTTTGCCACCGCCTTAGCCTTTGCTTTGGCCTTGGAAGTTGCCGTGCGCTCGGTTGCCTCAATCTCGTTGATTCTGGCACGAACACCGCGAAGCGTGTTTGTGATTTCCTCACTCTGGGCCTCAAGGTCTGCTTTGTAGTCGCGAAGCTGGTCAACTGTCATCGCCAAGACTGTGCCACTCAAGGCATTGATGTAGCCGGCAATCACGGACTTAGGCGCCATTGCGAAGGACCGCAAGAGAGTAAGTGATGCTACAAGCTTAAAGCAAAAAGGACTTCAGAATGGTTGTTGTCTCTGCAATCGCTCATTCAAGCAATGCAACCTGATAGCAGAACTGAATAAAACAAGCAAGGCGTGCCGTTTGAACATCTCCTCGTTGTTGTCGTCGTCATCATCAGAACCGCCCAGGCTTGGACCGCTTCAATGATTTGCAGTGCTTGTGCTTTGCTGGGCACTGGCGGATAGGATGTACCTCGGCTGGCGATGTGTGGGATGATGCTGGGCCGACGGCCAGATCTGCCACCGTCGGCAAGTTGCCGTGTCTGGGCTCAGACATGTTTGTATTTGTATTCCTGAGACCCTGGTATCACTGGCTCTACACACGATCCGGACAATCTATGCTACCTGCATGCTGGTGCACTCCTGCTGGCCTATGTTAGCCCGCTGGCCCTTCTGAGGGTGCCGCACCTCTACAGCATTCCTTGCATGACCTGCTGCAACTTGGGTTCTCTAGGCCTCTAGGCCCCTTCAACCAATTACGCTTCCTGATGTGCCTGCTTGGCGTATGCTTGTCCATGACTGGACGCACCTGCATCGACAACAGGATTGCTTGGAATTTATCCGCTATTTACTCGACAAGCATTGTCTGTCATACTTGAGCTGCCGTTGGGAGGCACGCCCGGTACCTGGCTCGGTTGCAGCTCGCAGAACGCTGGTACGAGGCCTCGTGAGTGTGGATTTGCCTTTGCCCAAGCGAGCTCAAACCACCACTCGGCAGGAGTGTTTTGCCAGCTGGTGTGAACAGAAATTCCTCATGGCCTTCTCAACACCCCGCCGTTCTTGCTGGTTAGTTTGGCTCGGTATGCAAATCTGGCTAAAGGCAAGAATCGGTCTAGAGTACCATGCGACGGCCATGCAGGAGGCCTTGGCGTCAGGGATTCTACACCTGGCTATCGTGCCTTTCTTGCGCATCCACGAGCTGCTGCCCGCTCTCAGGTATCCACATCATCATCACCTGAGGATGGAGTGGCTCCTGCGGGTGACCAGGGGATTTCGGCCCCTCGGGAAGACCGCCAAGCCCCTCGGGGTGTCCGTCCTTCACCTGGTGGTGTACAGATGATGACAAGCCGGCTGAAATATGTCATCCTACATACTCTGGGATCCTGAGTGAGAATTGTTATGTTCTATGCTTTCGGCTTACTGCTGATCCATGATCTGTGTAGTAATTGATGCCGGTAGTTCCTTGACTAGGCTATTGACTGCTGGAGGCCAAGCTCCCAGGGTCGCTACCCCTAGTCCAACTTTTGATAGTTCCCATTTGGCGTATTCCGAGCTGAGTGCTTTAGCCATGGCGATGTGTATTCACAGCTCTTGCTAGCCGCGCTGAATTCGTTCTGAATTCGGCGTGTGGCTTTCGCCGCGCAAGAGACCAGGGGACCAGGGGACGGTTCTGCGATCGCAAAGTCAAAAAGTATCTATCTCTCTCTGTCTCTCTCTCTCTCTCTCTCTCTCTCTCTCTCTCTCTCTTTCTGTGTGCAACAAGCTTCTTCAACAGAGAACATGTCGGTTCATCTGTAGTAAGAGCAGAGTTGCTTCGTCTGTAGGCGACGCAAAAAATCGTTTTGTCCTGGCGAATTTGTTTTCCAGTACGACGGCCTTACTGTAGACCTCGTGAAAAAGAAGTTAAAAACATATTTTCGATACAGCCGAGACCATCACAAAACAGTTTCGGTCTGTGTGTTGGTGACATGCAAGCATGTAGATGTAATGGATTGAAACGCAGGTGTTTGGCAAATGCCAATGATATCACAGACTTCATGTTGTCATAAAGTTGTCCTTCTCGAGAGGTTTGCGAAATGAGGAACCGGAAGAAGGTAGGCTCGGCTTGTGGAATGTGCGAAGCATCGGGGCCCAAGCGTGAGCAGATTGCAAACACAAGCACTTCATGCAGCATGCACTATTTAGTGTTGCAGCAGCAAGTTGTTCTCAACTCCATATTTGCTAGCAGCATGCCTCGAAAAGGCAAGTCCACATCTCAAGCCCAATCACGCCGTGCATCGCAGCGTGAAACATTGTGTGGAAGACGTGTTGGTAATCACAAACATGTTCTCCGTTTAGCCCAATGCATGCCATGGATTGTGTGGTTTTGCTGGTGGCAGTTTTGCTCCCACGATGCCGTGCATTCTATTTTACAGCAGTGTCTCTTTTGAATTGGAAACATGTCTCCTGCTGCAAGCTTAAACTTTCCGATCGGCCTGTCAGCAAGGTGACCACACCCTACTGGGACATCGCATTGCGTGCGAAAGCGCCTGTGAAGGAGTCCTTTTGATATTTGTATTGTTGACATGGAGTCCATTATATGCACACAGATTCACATAGTGTGCACGGAAAGGCTTCCGGACCATCGACAGGTGGTGGTTCCACATCCAGCAACGTGCCATTATTCAGGCGACGGTTGGGTTTTTAATGACGTGCACATTTGGCAAACAAGGAGCCATATCATTTAGCACGGGATTGGATGTTGCGGCCTTGCACGTACATGTTGGTGTTCGACGTGTGCTAGATAGGAAGGCTAGTCAGTCGTCGTCGGATATTCGCCGTTGCTTGCTAGAACGGATGTATTGTTTGGAGCAAAGTGTGTACATGACAAAGGAATGAAGAATCAGCTATCATCAGTCATCAGCTTTGGCATTCGAAGCCTCCACGGAGGTTTTGTGATGACACGGAGAAGGCTTTGGCGCAGTTTGAGCGAATCGACGATGTGATCATGGGAGGATCCTTGGTCCCTTGAATGGTGCTTCTTTCATTTTATCCGTCTGACGACTTGAAAGTTCTGTCAACGGTTTGAGGTTCCTTGAGAGTCGATGGTTTTCTGGGCTTTTGGGTTCCTTGCGAAGCGGTTGACGGCTGAGTCCGAGCGCTGCTGCTTCTTACGGCTTTCAGGTTTACAGGTTTATGGTTTATTGCTTTCATGGAAGCTCATGGGGTTTTTGTTGTGCCCTAGACGTAAGGTGATGGCAACCAGGCCCGACGTCCTTTAATATCATTTGTACTTCTGTTCTTGAACTTGTCGCCATCATGTCTCGCTTTCGCCCCGTGTTGAAGCACACACATCTTCATGATGATAGCACATTGCAGCTGAGCAACGTCTAGATGAGGCACAGCTTTTTAGGATGTTGCTGCCACAGGCTCGCAAGTTAGAGGCAAGTGGTTCTTGCATTCCCTTTGCGA